CCTTCATCATAATAACCAGATGAATGAGGGCACACTACTACGAAAAAGCAAATTTAGGGTTTGAAAGCAAGAAATGTGGTAACTCTGTCTCTTTGCCCTTCATCTCCTGAACTGCCACCTGCTCAACGTACGTTCTGAGAAAGTGATCTCTTTTCTTACAAACAAGAAAGGGAAAATGAAAAGCTCATCGGTAACTATTTATCAAACATAAGTTTTGCAACTCAACTTCTTTGCATATATTTGAATCAGTGTTTCTGAAATTCTAGCTAATTATTCCTTAAATAAATGATTTATAACAGCATCTAATGGAAACATACTAGCTAGTGAATTTGAGGCATTTATAATTCAATTACTACTGAAGGTAGTAAATGGTAAAAATTAAGGCTGAGTTGAGAAACGATCACTACAACTCACCAACCATTTGATAAGACGAAAGCTAAAAATAGAAAATGCAGTCATTGATTAATCATATTGCAAAATGCTAAAATAGAAATAAAAAATTACAGTTCAGACCAATGTGAACTAAAAATATATAGTATTATGACAATATATGTTTTAGTTAATCTATATTTTAATCACATACCTACAAGCATTTCTTTTTCTTTTCTTTCCTTTTTTTTTTTTTTTTTTGAGACAAGTCTTGCTCTGTTGCCCAGGCTGGAGTGCAGTGGCACGATCACAGCTTACTGTAGCCTCAACCTCCTGGGCTCAAGGGCTCAAGCAATCCTTCCATCTCAGCCTCCTGAGTACCCGAACTACACAAGTATGTGCCACCCTGTCTGTATAATTTTTTCGTATATATAGTAGAGATAGGGTTTTGCTATGTTGTCCAGGCTGGTCTTGAACTCCTGAGCTCAAGCGACCCTCCCACCTTGGCCTCCCAAGGTGCTGGGATTACAAGCGTGAGCTACTGTTTCTGGTCAGTCGTTTCTTTGGATGATGCTGCCATACACAGAGACAAAGATAGGAGGCTGTTGTTGGGTACTAAACATACTGACTTACACCTAGGAGCCTGAATTCTCTCTCAAGTTAGGGTTAATGTCCTTAAACACTGGGACCATTTGTCCTAAGTGCATCATAGCGATTCTGGAGTAAAAAACAAAACAAAACAAAACAAAAACACCCCAAAAAACTGTGATCTAAACAAAGGGGTTGGAGAACTAAGGTACAATACAGTTTTTTCCATAATGTAACATAGTTTTTAACATAATAGATTTCATGGCATCAATTCACTAGTAAACGGAAGACATTCAAACAAATGATAGAATTGCAAACTGGGACATATATTTGACCTGTAGTCTACCTTTGAGAATTTAAGCTACATGCAATGGGAATTTAATCACCAGCAAAAAAGATGAATATATAAAAAGATTTTAGTACTGGAAATTGAACACAAGCTAAATATTCATCAATGAAAACTGGTTAAGCAAATTATGGTACAATGGGATGCAAAAAAATGATGTGGTAAAAACTTTACCTGCTAATAGAAAAAAGATGTTCCTATTAAATGAAAGACCTGGTTATTGAATGGTGTATACAGCCTCATTTCATCTTTTATAAACAAATGTTTAAACACAAAAATGTTTTAAAACCATTTCTACCCCCTCCCCACATGCTGCATTGCAGAAAACTTAGAACACACCAATTAAGAGTATGAGTAAATAGGTAGAATTATGATTAATAATCTTTTTGCTTTCTGTATTTGGTTCTCTTATATTAGGCATAGTTTGCTTTTTAATAAAACAAGAAAACTTTAAGAAAAAAAAATCTTTTATCCTTTTAAGTAGTGAAAACTTAAAAGACTGAAAAAATGCCTGTGAAGAAATGCTTTTTAGTTTGAGAAAGAACACAGTGTTCTTGGTATCGTATGGTATGTTCCAATGAACTAAGTTAAACAAAAAGATTAAGACACTAAAATGGTAAAAGATATGCATTCCTAAAACATCCTAAAATTCTGAATTTTTTTTTTTTTTTGGTTGTAAGAATCCTCTTAATAATGTATCTAGCAAAGAAAGTAACACTCAAATGAAAGCAGCCCTCCTCCCCATAAAAGTGAGATCACAACCACAGTCGTTCTAGCTGGCAACCCTTGCTGGAGAGCCAAAGACTACAAAGGGAGTGGAAGAAATATGTTGATAACTGAATAAAATCCATACCACTGAATTGAACAGATTTGCTGGGCACCTACCATATGAGGAAATAAGGAAAGGTAGAGCAGAAAAACCTACTGAAAATCACATCACTGAAAGGTTAACTGAGGAGAAATTTATACCTCCTCAATGTATACAGAACACTCAACTATTCTGTTAATGAAGAAGCTGTTCAGCATACAAACCAATCACAGCAATACCCTCAATACGGCATTTCATCTTTTCAGATAAGATGAAAACAAAACTCTTCTAAATTTCTATTTAAATTAACAGTAACATTTGCATCACATACTATGTTTACCTGTATTTATACAGGGTTTCTATATTCATCATTTTTTCTCATCCTTGCAGCACCCCTGTGACACAGGCAATGATGTTATTTATTATCACCTCTCATTTAATACAGGTACTCCAAAAGATAGGCAGCTGTAAACAAGGAGGAAGAAAAGTATATGACGTTTAAGACAGAGGGCACTAGATAAGCAAAGGCATAGAAGTGAGACAGAAAGAAAGGGAGACACTGAAGGAATGAGAGCATGACTGGCTGTAAAGTGCCTCTGGAGGGTAATGAAAGATGAAGGTGGTCAGTTAAGCAGGTTCCTGGTCATGAGAAGAATTACACGCCATGTTAGGGGAGTTAATAATCTGCAGAAAATGGCAGAAAATGATTTAAGAGTTTCATGTACATGAAATGGCATGATCAGATTTGTACTTTAAAAATCTTTATGGTGGTACTGAATGAGAAGTGTTGGAAGTGTGGAGTAGGGATGGGGGAGAGGATCAAGCCTATGAAACCAATTAAGTGGTTTGTGAGGTAATCTAGGTAAGAAGAAACAATGGCTTGGACTAAGGTGTGGCAGAGAGAATGACAAGAAGGGAACAGATTGGAGAGAATCAATAGGATTCAGAGACAGACTACACGGAGAGGGTGGGTAGGACAGAAGTGCTGAGGGTTGACAGAACTGTTGCTAGCCCAGCAACTTGCCTTTGCAAACTGGAAAACCGTCCCTGACAGGGCACACAGCTTGAAAAGCAGACCTCAGGCTAGATATGAGCCGCAACTCATCACTGCACCTGCAGAACGCTCCCTGGTACAGAACTCTTCCTGAAGAACCTGGTCCTTCGATCACCAGTGTTAAGAGTCAGCTGGAATTCTTGTTAAAATTCAAATTCCTAGTTTCAACGCTGGACCTCTAGTGAATCAGAATCTCTGGGAGGATGGGCCTGAGGTTCCATGTGAGCCAATGATAAAGGAAATACATAAAATGCATGTGTATATGGAAGGAGATTACTTTAGCTCAAGAAACTTCGGCTCGACATCTGAAGAATATCTACATGGAGAGGCCTAGCAGGTAGGATATAGGAGTCTGGTGCTCAGAATAAAGATTTGGCCTCACAATATAAGTTTGTAGAGTTCCAGCTTAACTTTACCAGCTTACAGAGGTATAGTTGAAGCCGTGGTAATAAAAGCAACTAAAATAAGAAGCCAGGATTGAGGGAGTTGAGTATTTCAACAAACAGGTAAATGTCAGAGTTTGAAAACTCCACTAACACCAACTGTTTATTGCCTAGATAGCTAGGTGATTGCTGGTGAGAGCATGATGGTGGCAAATTAGAGGGCACTGAAGAAAAGCTGGGAGGAGAAATAAGAGACCCTAAATGAATTGCTGTTTAAAGAATTATAGCTTAAAGAAAAAAGGGAAAAGGTTTTTTTCCGTTGACTTTTTCTTTTAAAATGGGAGACATGAACACTTCTGATATGCTAGCTAACCATTCTTTTGGCTAATCTGCCAGGTACATAGAAAATAACTGTAGGTTGCCAAGCTGATGAGTTAGTAAAACAGAGGAGAGGGCAAATAGATGCATTAAGAGTGGGAGGCTGGGTGCAGTGGCTCACGTCTGTAATTCCAACACTTTGGGAGGCCAAGGCGGGTGGATCACCCTGAGGTCTGGAGTTTGAGATCAGCCTGGCCAACATGGTGAAACCCCACCTCTACTAAAAATACAAAAATTAGTGGGCACGGTGGCAGGTACCTGTAATCCCAGCTACTTGGGAGGCTGAGGCAGGAGAATCACTTGAACCTGGGAGGCAGAGGTTGCAGTGAGCCAAGATCCTGCCACTGCACTCCAGTCTGGGCAACAGAGTGAGGCTCCATCTCAAAAAAAAAAAAAAAAAAAAAAAAAGAGTGGGAGGTAGAAAAGACAGAAGATGTAAGAAGTGTGAAAGAAATTAAATTGTTCCATATTCACTCTCAATTGAGAATTGAGATTTCCCAGAATATCTATGACTGATATTTATCCAATACATTTTGTTAATATATAACCTGGTAATCTAAAACTGACTTTTCTGGAGAACTTCCTAATATGCAGGAATTATATTTTATCTATACTGTATTTATTCTACTGTGTAGTAGAAATAAAATTGATATGGTTTCGATTTGTGTTCCTACCCAAATATCATGTCAAATTGTAATGCGCAGTGTTGAAGGAGGGTGCTGGTAGGAGGTGACTGGATCATGGGAGTAAACTTCCCCCTTGCTGTTCTCACGAGAGTGAATCTCACATAATCTGGTTGTTCAAAAGTGTGTAATACCTCCGTCTTCTCTCTTCCTTCTTCTCCAGTCATGTAAGATGTGCCTGCTTCCCCTTCACCTTCTGTCATGATTGAAAGTTTTCTAAGGCCTCCCCAGCTATGCTTCCTATACAGCCTGTGGAACTGTGATCCAGTCTCAGGTAGTTCTTTATAGCAATGCAAGAACCATTACAGAAAATTGGTACTGGGAATGGGGCACTGCTGTAAAGATACCTGAAAATGTGGAAGCGACTTTGAAACTGGATAATGTGCAGAGGCTGGAACAGTTTGGAGAGCTCAGAAGAAGACAGGGAGGTAAGGGAAAGTTTGGAACTTCCTAGACACTTGTTAAATTGTTGTGCCCAAAATGCTGACAGTGATATGGACAATGAGGTCCGGGAGTAGGCGGTCTCAGATGGAGATGATAAATTTATTGCAGTAAAGGTCACTCTTGCTACGCTTTACCAAAGAGACTGGTGGCACTGTACCCCTGGTCTAGGGACCTGTGGAACTTTGAACTTGAGAGTGATGATTTAGGCTATCTGGTGGAAGAAATATCTAAGTAGTAAAGTGTTCAAGATGTGGCCTGGCTGCTTATAACAGTGTGCAGGCATATATGTGAACAAAGAGATGATCTGAAACTGGAACTTATATTTAAAAGGGAAATAGAGTTTAAAAGTTTGGAAAATTTGCAGCCTGACAATGTGGTAGAAAAGAAAAGCCCATTTTCTGGAGAGAAATTCAAGCCAGCTGCAGAAATCTGAATAAGTAAAGAGGAGCTGAATAGCCAAGACAATGAGGAAAACACCTTGAAGGCATTTCAGAGACCTTTGTTGCATCCCTTCCCATCACAGGCCCAGAGGCCTACGAGGAAAGAATGGTTTCATGGCCTGGGCCCAGGGCCCTGCTGCCCTGCACAACCTTGGGACACTGCTCATGTCCCAGCCCCTTTAGCTCCAGCCATTGCTAAAAGGCCCCAGATATGTCTCAGGCCTCTGCTCCAGAGAGTGCAAGCTGTAAGCCACGGATTCCACGTGGTGTTAACTTTGCAGGTGTGTAGAGGGCAAGAGTTGAGGCCTGGGAGCCTCTACCTAGATTTCAGAGGATGTATGGAAATCCCTGGATGTCCAGGCAGAAATCTGCTGCACGGGTGGAGCCCTCATAGAGAACCTCTACTAGGGCAGTGCAGATGGGAAATGTGAGGTTTGACTGCCCCCAGAGAGCCCCCACTGTGGCACTGCCTAGTGGAGCTGTAGGAAGAGGGTCACCATACTCCAGACTTCAGAACGCTAGATTCACTGACAGCTTTCACTGTGTGCCTGGAAAACCCGCAGGCACTCAACCTCAGTCTGTGATGTACCTCACTGTATCTTGGAAGTAAAGAACTTGTTTTTTAGAGGCTCAAAACGGACTTGCCTTGTCTCAGATGAGACTTTGGACTATGGACTTTCGAGTTAATGCTAAAATGAGATAAGTCTATGAGGGACTGTTGATAAGGGATGATTGTATTTTGCAATGTGAGAAGGACATGAGATTTGGGAGGGGCCAGGGACAGAATGATATGGCTTGGATTTGTGTCCCCACCCAAATTTCAGGTTAAACTGTAATCCCCGATATTGGAGGAAGGGCTTGGTGGGAGGTGATTAGATCACAGGGGCAGATGTGCCCCTTGCAGTTCTCATGATAGTGAGTTCTTACAAGATCTGGTTGTTTAAAACTATGTAGCACCTTCTTCTCTCTCTTCCTCCTTCTTTGCCCATTAAGACATTCCTTCACCTTCTGGTATAATTGTTAAGTTTTCTGCGGCCTCCTCAGCAATGCTTCCTGCACACCCTGCAGAGCTGTGAGAAAATTAAACCTCTTTCTTCATAAATTACCCAGTCTCAGGTAGTTCTTTATAGCAGCGTGAGAATGGACTGATACAATAATGAAAATGTTGATTTATCACGATAAATGGAAAATAATTTGTTCAGCCAAATTAACATGGTCAAAATTATGAAAGATAATAAGTAACAGAAATGTCCTCAGAGCAAATAGTAATATAAAAACTTTGAAGTATTTCCTACTGTTCAAAATACTTACAGATACTGAAGATCCTCTTTAATATTTGAAGACATCAGTATAAAAGTATGAATGAAGGAGTATTTCATGTTAATCTTGAAACACTCCTCCCATATAACACAACCAGATTTCCTCAATGTATGGGCTCTAATTTTCAAAACAGACCAGCAATTATCATTCATTAAGTTCATGGTAGATATTATTCCACCAGTAATCATAAGTTTAGGACAGATATTAAAAATGTCATTAAATATATTTGTATAGCACTTCAGAAACTGGAAGGTGGTTTTAGTGTCTATTATACTTCATAGTGGCAAATAATCCTGTATTAATTCCAATATGCTATATAATTTACTTATTCTGTTGTCTTTTTCCTCCTCTCATGCAAGCCTCATGATGGTGGGGATTTATTTATTTTTGCTAACTCCATTATCTCTAGCTACTAGAAAATTTCTGACACTCAGTAGTTGCTCGATTAGTATTTATTGAAGGAATATGTTTAAAATTATGGTGAAATCAACCATAGAGCTTTCATTTTGAGATTTAGATTTACGGGTACACACACATCATTGTTTTGCCTTACTATTGTACAACTCAGTCAGTAACAGCAAAGAGCTACCAGAAATAGATAACAACATTAATTTAAAATTATTTGTAAAGAACAGACACTGTCCCCTTGTTAAAACGATAAATCCAAAGCTCAGAGTTTAATGGGTTTATTCTCCTTATCAAATTCCTAACAGATGGTATGACAAATTGAATTAGAATAATTTAAATTCACTCCAACCAGAATTGTGGTTAACATTTTGATAACTCTGCAACTTTACTTAGCTACTTTGATTTCAATCACTCATACATTTTTCATGCCTTGCCTTATTTAAAATTCACATTTAATGCTCCTTTCCCATAATATGGTGATTAAAGGTAACAGCAAAATCACCTTCCAACCTCTAAAGTGCAATACAAATACAATTATTTTGTTTTTAATTTATATTTGGTAATAAACATTGAAAAAATTTTCTTAAGTTTTAATTTTGAACTGTCAACAGAGGAACAATATTTCTAAATATGGTCTAAATATTTCTAAAATGTACTACCGACATAGAAGTTTAATGCTCATTATCTTCTAAAATTCAGAAACTAGGCAACGTTAATGAACACTTTCTTTTCTCTCTCTCAGGTTGTCCCAGCATCACCTATTGAGGCTGATAAGCAAAAGGGAGCTGCTATGCAATTTCAGGATTGGTGCCGAAATCTTCACCTGTGCTCACACTGTCTGCTTCCACTCACTCATAATCCTATTCTCTCTCTTGAGAGAAAGGCTAATCAGGATAAATACGCTAGTCTGCCTTACTTGGATTGTGGAAGGACAGAGAGCAGTGTTAGAATCACTGTTTCATTACCAGCTGACATCTGCATGGTTCTTCTGGGTAAGGACCAGCAACAAGACTGTCTTGTGTGTGTCCTTTTTCTTCCTAGTTCCTCCCATCTCTCTGCTTAACATCAATTCAATAAAAATTTCTCAAAACTATATTATGTTGGCATACTGGTTGTTTAGATTACACTCTCCGTGGAAATTGCATCACTCCACTCTCTTAGGTCATCGGAAATCAGTATTTTTGGCTATTCCACAGAATGTGTATTCATTAAATATCGTGAGTAGAAATTATTTAAAAATTAAGCATGTCTTAGGACCCAAACTTTAGTCCTTGCTTGAATATTCACATTTGTGTAATTCATTTCCAATATTGCCTAAAAGTTACTTAATAGCTACTAAATTTCTAAGAGTCCATGTCATTTTCTTTGGAAGAAGAAATTTAGGCACCTGGACGCTTTGGAATCAGAGACCCTGGGTCTCTAACCTTTGTGATTTTTGGAATAGTTACCCAGACTCTCTACTCACTTTCCTTATTCATCAAACTGGGATAACACAGAACCTACTTCATGTAGTTGTATTAAGAATAAAATTAAAAACTGCATGGAAAGTATACAATACCTGGTAAATAATATCCAAATATTGTTTAGATAAGAGACTTACCTAAAAGTATAAATTCCCTAAATATTTACTGAGCATAAGGTGGACTAGTTTCTTCCAACTAGAGGGTGATACTTCACTTCCTCTAGAGTAGAGATAAATCTATCTTTGTCTTCTTTCTTCACAGGCCATTATTATTTGCATGCAATAAGAAAAATTACACTTTTAGCGTCTATTATACTTCATAAAGGCAAATAATCCTTTCTGGATAGGTGATGTCTCTTTATCAGTTCTCCAGTAACAGTTATTATAGGTTATGTCAACATGAAAACTATCTTTGAGAATAATTTTGATCCAAGTAGTAAAGACTTTCAATTTAGATTTAAGTTGTTTTCATGTATCTCATAAAACATTTCTTTTCATCTCTGTCAGACTATTGGGATAAATGAACTATGATTCTGAACCAGAAAGTCATTTTTATATATTCTAATAAATCATTTTATCATTACGATATTCTTATTAATAGAATATTCTGGGTTATACACACTGCTTGTTTTCAACTTTAAATCACTGATTTAAAAGAACATTATTTTTATCACTGACTTAAAAAGCACTCAAGATCATCATTATGAACTTACATACTCCTCTGCTGCAGAGGACATCCTTCACAACCAAAATTTATGTGTGATCTAAATTTTAAACGCATCCTAGACTTTAGAATTAGAAAGCCTAACAAAGTTAGGCAGGAGAAAAAAAAAATGAGGCTACCATCATTAGGACAGGGATAAAAGTCTGGAAACTGGCTCCTCATATATGGGTTGTTAGTTAAATCACAAGTCTTTACCAGATATTGTTAGCCTAGTTTCAATGATTTTTCTATAAAAATATTCTATTATTTAAACTAATCACCAATTAAGCCTACTTTTTACTCTCACCCATCCTTACTCCTATTCAAATAAAGTATTACTACCAGAGCCATTTTTAAAGTGTTCAAACTAAGTGATATTAAAAGGCAGTTAAGGATTAAAAAAAAATTAACCTTGAGCCTTTACTTTCAAGTTGCTGTGGTGTGAATGTGTCCCTCAAAGTTCATGTTTTGGAAACAATCCTTAAAGCAACAGTGTGGTGGCGGGGTCTAATAGGTGATTAGGTAATGAGGGCTCTGACCAAATAAATGAAGTAATGTCATTATTGTAGGAGTGGGTTAGTTATCTTGAGATTAACTTTTATAAGAAACCACTTTTGGCCAGGTGTGGTGGCTCATGCCTGTAATTCCAGCACTTTGGGAGGCCAAGGCGGGCTGATTATGAGGTCAGGAGATCAACACCATCCTGGCTAACACAGTGAAACCCTGTCTCTACTAAAAATACAAAAAATTAGCTGGACGTGGTGGCGGGCGTCTGTGGTCCCAGCTACTCAGGAGGCTAAAGCAGGAGAATGACGTGAACCTGGGAGGCGGAGCTTGCAGTGAGCCAAGATTGTACCACTGCACTCCAGCCAGGGCGACAGGGTGAGACTCCATCTCAAAAAGAAAAAGAAAAGAAACCACTTTTGTTATAAAAGTGAGTTTAGCTCTCTCTTGACTTCCTGCCTTCTGCCACAGGATGATGCAGCATGAAGATCGTTGCCCAAATGCAGGGCCCTCAACCTTCAGAACCAAGAAATCTGCGTTCTTTATAAATTACCCAGTCTCAGCTATTCTGTTACAGCAGCTCAAAATAGACTAAGATAAGTATATTAAAGATCACCAAGCTAAAGTTCAGAATTCCCATTAGGCTTTATACTTCAAAGTGCAACTTTTAGTTAATACATGATGTTTGCCATTACAGGATGGGAAATGAGAAAGAGGCTAATGCCAGACTGAACTAGCTCTTTACAGCTTCCCGATCACAAGTGGTGGGGACCCTTACTTAAGTGGAAAAAATGTTAGTGTCTCAGAAGCAGGACACAGAGGAACAGTTTATGTCCTCTTTGAGTAATAGACAACCAGTTTAAACTTCCAAACCAAATCAAGAATGTCACATTGAGATTCAAAGTGGTCCCTGACTACTGACCACAAACAGTATATGGTAAAGACACAGAGAACCAAGGAACAGTAAGATTAAACACAGGCACTAATTCACCTATGACGTAGCCAAGATCACGGATTTTTCTTGCTGGAAAGATTGCTAAGGAGCTGACTTTGGGTCTCCTCCTAGAATGGTTCCTAGAAAGAACTAATCGAGAAAGTAGTCCAAGAGGTACTACACAGAGAGCAGCCAGATACATACTTACCAACTAGCAAGGCCAAGTTACACTGGAAACTTTGGTACAGATTGAGTATCTCTTATCTGAAATGCCTGAAACCAGAACTGTTTCAAATTTCAGATTTTGGAATATTTGTATTATACTTACTGGTTGAGCATTCCAAATAAAAAAAATCTTAAATCTGAAATGCTCCAATGAGCATCTCCTTTGAGCATCGTGTAGGTGTCAAAAAGTTTTACATTTTGGATTTTGAATGCTCAACCTGTATAACAGGAATTGGTCGAATCTTATAAAAATGTTTTAGCCAGGTGTAAGGTGATGCACACCTGTAATCTCAGCTTCCTGGGAGACTGAGCTGGGAGAATTGCTCAAGGCCAGCCTAAGCAACATAGTGAAACCCTTATTTTAATAACATAAAGAAAGGAAGAAAAGCTAAACTGTTCTAAGCTAAGTTAGCTTAAAAAAAACCGGGGGGGGGGGTGGACGGGGTTTCTCTATGGAAAAGCAAGCAAGCCAATTATAGGAAGAGAGAAATGCTCTAAGAATTATTTATACACTATTTTGGCACAAGATGAAAACTCATAGTATGAACCAACAGTATTGAAACCCTGGATCTTTTCCTGCTGAAGTCTCACTTTGGGCTTTGTTACCTTACAGTTGAGTTTAATTACTGGCTCCTAACCACCCTGGGCTGCCTTCCTCTTTGCCATTCCTTAGGGAATGGTAGTAAGTTGGTCCTTAAATATCTTTAGAGATTTTAGCAATTTGAACTATGATGCATATTAGAGTATTTGATCACTAATATGTATGAAAAAGTTCATAGTGTCTTAGGGCCAAGGGCAGGCTGTAAGTATTTAGGAAGTTTATGCATCTGTTTCGTAATCTGAGAAGTAGACAATTTATTTTAATGGTGTATTAGTCCATTCTTGCATTGCTATTAAAAAAAACCCGAGACAGGGTAATTTATAAAGAAAAGAGGTTTAACTGGCTCACAATTCTGCAGGCGTACAAGAAGCACGGTAGCATCTGCTTCTGCGGAGTCCTCAGGGAACTTACAATCAGGGCAGAAGGCAAAGAGGGAGCCAACACCTCACTTGGTTAGAGTAGGAGGAAGAGAGTGAGGGGGGAGGTGCTACACATTTTAAAACAACCAGGTCTCATGATAACTCACTCACTGACTATCATGAGAACAGCACTGAGGGGATGGTGCTAACCGATTTATGTGAATTCCACCTCCATGATCCGATCACCTAATACCAGTCTCTGCCTGGGGATTACATTTCAACATGAGATTTGGGTAGGGACACAGATCCAAACCATATCAAATGATGAACAGTTTAAAAAAAAAAATTAACCTTGTAAACATTTAAAAATATCTGAGTCCTCAGAGTGCGTTTCTCAGGTCCTTAAAGCATATCACCTGTGGCTTGGAAGTACGTAAAATTTAGGCTCCTCTTTCCTTTTCATCATTGTAAAGTCACAGAGAAAAGCCAACTTAGAGCCATGCCCACAATACAAGATTAGATGGTCTTTTGTTATTTCTTTCTTCCTTCCTTTGTCTTCATTTTATAAACGTATGCATGCACACAGCTTTTAAACAAGAGGCTAGTTGATTAGGAAACCAGTGTTGACTTGATGTAAGCAACAATCCAAAAAGTAGAAAATATTACTATTGTTTACTACAAATGTATGGACTCAAAACTAGCTTAACTGTTATTATTCCTCAGGAGAATTTATTTTTACTCAGCCTCTTCTCAGAGAAGAGTGTCTTAGAGCAAAGTTAGCAATTAGTACACTAAGAAATCAGGTAACTGCAATACTCCCAAACTACAAAAAACTTTACACTAAACTAGTAAAGTTAAATGTCATTTTTAAAAAGCCCCTCTTACATTCTAGCCTATTGACAGGCATTGTGTTGGGAACTTGGTAGAGGAAAGAAAACTTCAAAAACATTTTAAAAGATTTACCGACAACAAATATACCTTGTTATTTTTCTAGTATGTAATTATTATGACATTTTTCCCCCACTGATTTCTAAAGTCCTGTACACTGATACAAAAACTAAAATTGTGTGCAATTCAAGATGCTCATTTCCCTCTTTTCTAAAATAATCTTTTTTTTTTTTTTTTGAGACGGAGTTTCGCTCTTGTTGCCCAGACTGGCGTGCGATGGCATGATCTCACCTCACTGCAACCTCTGTCTCCTGGGTTCAAGTGATTCTCTTGCCTCAGCCTCCCGAGTAGCTGAGATTACAGGCATGTGCCACCATGCCCGGTTAATTTTGTATTTTTAGTAGAGACGGGGTTTCTCCATGTTGGTCAGGCTGGTCCCGAACTCCTAACCTCAAGTGATCCACCTGCCTTGGCCTCCCAAAGTGTTGGGATTATAGGCGTCAGCCACCACGCCGGCTTACAATAATCTCATATTAAACAAAACAGTTGTAATACACTAGCTGATAACTGTAGTGAAAATGAAAATGTGTATTTGTGAGAGCTGAGAACTGACACCAGATAGAGAAGAAATTATTTGATTCTAATTTTACTTACAAAGATTAAATTGGGATTTTAATATATAAAACCTTGACTATACATAGAGTATTAATGAAACAGTTCTAATTCAAATTGAGAATTGTCTTTTACACTGAAGGTAACTATGATTTCAAAAACAAAGGACTTATTCCATGCTTACATGCTGAGATATTATCAGAGCTGAAATGTTAAGAGATGGTACCTGAGGAAATATCTGTATAATCTCTATACAATGACTGAATACCAGATAAAAGGCTTATTTTAAAAAGCTAGAAAAGCAATTACAAAAATTTAGGGTTCTGTGGAAAAATTCGATCATGGTACGAACTCCATTAATGATGAGTTGCCGGGAAACACTGGTTAGAAAAAGGTGGCTGAGAGAATAGCAAGGATAACCAATTAGGATTAGAACATTAGCCCTATTGATATAAAATAACTATTGACAGTAGATCAATGGTATTAAGATTACATATACTAGAACCAGACTGTCAAGCTTTAGTCCAGGATCGTCAGTTATGAGCTGTGTGACTTCAAACTGTATTTCTTAGGTCTCCAAGTTTCAGCTCTATCACATTGAAAATAGAAAATGACAGTAGTCATTCCAAAGCTATCTTGAGTTAAATAAGATAATCCACATAAGGGGTTTAGCACAGTGCCTGGCACATAACAACAGGTTGCCATCACCACTACAGCAACCCTGGGCAGTCCAACTTTTTGGCTGTTTCCTTAAAGGTAAAATACGGGGTTGGACTAGATAATTTCTAATGTCTTTACCCATCTAAAATTAAAATTCTACAATGTATCAACAATATACAAGCCACCTCTATTTTCAAAGAACATAAATTCAGATTTTAACCCTAGCATGATTTAAGTACTGTAAAATAAACTTATTTTTAAGTTATCCTTTTATTTTTATTTATTCTTTTAGAGATGGGGTCTTGCTATGCTGCCCAAACTGGACTTGAACTCCTAGGCTCAAGCAATCCTGTCACCTCAACCTCTGGAGTAGCTGAAATTGTAGGACTACACCGCTGTTCCTGTTATATCATCTTTTGAAATTAGCTATAATCACTACATTTATTAAAGCCAAAGTTATAGATATTCTATGTAATACACAAGAAATCCATAATCTTCCATCACATACTGTTTGGTGACTATAATAATTTCTGAATAACAAGTCCTAACAGGAATTTCAAGGTATATAATCCCCCACTATATTTTTTTAAAACTATAAGAACATTTCATACCCCATACTTACAGAACAGAAAATAAAGATCATGAAAAATTTCAAATATATAATTCAGAAAAAAGGAAATAACTATTTTGAAACTGTCCCTAATCTGGAGGTTTAATAAAGTCTCTCTACTGATATGTAACAACTCAAAACTCAAATTACAGGCCAGAATATTAAGTTTTTTTTTTTAGTATGACTCATAAATATCTAAACCAAAAATCAATTTTAATATGACGACACTAACTGCACCAACCCAAATACAACCTTCTAAGAGGGCTGTGTTTTTTTTTTTTTGGATTTGGAGAATTTTTCTTCATATATCTTAGGGACACCATTAAAAAATTTTAAAAACCTTTCCAGTTTTCAAAAATTACTAACAGTGTGTGTGATCACTGAAAAGAGGTTAATCTAAAAATTTTAAAATATTTTTCCAGATAATAAGATCATACTGGTAAGAAAAGGGTTCGGGCTTATCTCACTCAAATACTTGCATAATAGGCTTGAAAGAATAAAAAAATTATGTTACTTAATATGAAAAACACACACGTCTGTTAAAATCTGACAATTCAATAAGCTCTCAAACCAGAAAACACGTTTCCCAATCAACACTCATACTTATTTCTGTATTAGGAAAAATGAGGTTGTTCCAGGGGTCTTTAAAAAACAAAGATTTCTCTTAAATTCGTAACTCTGTTAACTGCACCTTCATTTCCAGAAACCTTATCTTTAACAAATCTCTACACTATTCATATTTAGCACAATTTCCAATCATTGAAGATATTTTAGTTTTACCTTACAACCAGGATAAAGCAGCTGTATTAAATTCATGCCGTAAAATCAAAACTACGCCGTGTGCTTACCCTCAATATTTAGCTCAAAACAAATGTGGCAGAAGGAGAGTGTTTCTTTGTCTGTTCCCAGTTTACAAACACTGCAAATGTTGTCATCATTCAAATCAATGTTTACAAACTGCTCCTCTTCGTTCATAGTGCCCCTATTAAGAAACAGAAAAGGAAAGTTACACAATTCAAGAACCTGCCTTTGGGGTAGCTTCCTTTTCGGGGAACTTCTAGGAAACAAGGATGCGGTTCAGCTCGTCTAAAGCAAAAGCTCCATCAAACAAGCATCGCCATACTTGCACTTCAACATTGCACTTTTCCTGTGCAAAGACACAAAGCTAGTAAAACTTAAAACTAGGCCATAGGTGACACTATGTCAGTGTCTTTTTTGTCCTATAGTTGATTGGGTTAAGGGGACCTGAAGGAGAGAGGTTTGCGGGCATTCTAGTCCTCCTCCTTCGTCCCCCAACCTCGAATAATCAGACACAGGGCTTAGCAGCGAGGCCTCTTCAGCTACCAGGTTCTGTCAACCTAGTTAACGCTGTGAGAAACAGGAAAAACGACCTGCACGGGACACTGCTTTGCTAACTTCCATTGGGGGAACCTCAGATGCGCCTCGCGAACTCGGAGTTGCGAAGCTTCGCATCGAACGGAGGTCGGCGGCAGCAAAATGCACGTGGGTACCGAACACCTGGGGAGGGCGTCCCGCCGTGTCCAGGGCAACCACACCGAAGGCCGAGCGGCGGATTCACGGTACCAGCCAGGCACCGCCGGAGGGGCCCAAGCCGGAGCCGGGAGAACCGCGGCACCCTGGAGCCCAGCGGGCGGGAGAGACTCGTCCCATCGCTCCGGGATTCCTCCCAGAGGGAAGAAAGCGTCCGACGGCCACGGCGGCCGGCCCGCCCAGCCTCAGGGTCTCGGGGAGCCGGGTCCTGGCCCGTCCTTCAGCGTTGGGGGCGCGCGGCCGCCCCCAGGGAGTCGCGGACCCACGTCAGTCTTTCCGTCGGTCCGTCCGTCGGGGCGCCTGGCGCGCAGCAGCGCGAGGGGCCTCGGGGCTCGGAACTCGAAGGAGGTGGCACGATGGGACGGGGGATCTGGGCTCAGGTGGGACAGGCGCAGGGGTGCGGGGTCTTTACCGTCCGTCTCCGCGGGCCACCACCGCCTTTCCGCGCGGCTCGGGTTCCTCCACTATTGTTTCCGGCCGCAGCAGAGGCGGCCGCCGCGCGCCTGGCCCCGCCCTCTCCCGCCGGCGCCATCCCGCGAAGGCTGCGGGGAGGGTGGCGCGGCCGCGGGCACAACTGCGCGCTCGCAGGGCTGCTACGGGCCCGCCCCTCCACTCCTGCACCGACGCCGCACCTTCGCCTCGAGTTCTCCGGTGATTCCGTGTGTCCTGGCCGGAGTTTCTTACCGTTCTCTGGAACGTAGCTCCTCACACCCCCCTCGTCGAGGTGCGTAGATAGACGAATCCGTTCCACCTCTCCCTTCAGCACAGTGCAAACTACTGCCCCGGGGCGGGGGCCGCAGGCGGCGGGGGTAGGAAAACCGCGGGTGGATGGGAGAAAGGGCGAGGTGCGTGGGTGGCACTTTGACTTCAGGAGAAAGAAGCATAATACTGTCTCTGAACTTATAGTTAAGTGCCAGTTGAAGTAACTAACGAAGGAAAAGTTCATATTCAGGTGTCATGATAGAGGCATGATTTCAAATACAGAAGCTTTTAAAATAGGTTATTTGTTGTGGGGCGTCCCCCCCATATGGTACATCCCTCAACGCCCACGGGGAAAACCCCGAGCCCCACCTCTTATTTTTAGGTCCTGCTTGGTTCTCAAACTCTTTGCTTGACTTTTATTTTAGCTATTCTGGTGTTTTGGGGGTATGGTTCATGCAGTACTTTCCCTTACGTTTTCTATTGTAGTCTTTACGGGAACCTACAGAGGAGAAACAGGAACTGTTCTCTCATTTTGCAGCCTAGGAGTAATTAACCCAGGTTATCGCAGTTGGTTAGAAGCAGGCTGGGGATTGAACCCAAGGCTACTGAGCGAAGATCAATGTTATTTTTTACAGCATCATATGCGCGTGTTCTGGTCGCACTCAAATAGAAAGAGGGCTGGCCTGTCAGTCTACATGTAGGCATTCTTGAACTGATGGTAGGAATAGACTCCATAGATCTTGGAAACTTCTGGACCAAATTAGCACTCTAATTATGGCATCTGTGCCTCGCAGGAGCGATCTGTGTCCTTGCCACCTATTTTAGTAGATGAACCAGCAACATTGACATTACCTGGTTTCTGTTAGAAATGTATAATCTCAGGCCCTACTCGAGATTTCCTAAATCAATACCTGCACTTTAACAAGACCCCCCGGAGATTCCTATGTTCATCGAAGTTTGAGATGCACTAATTGAAATAGAAAAGCCTGAGCTTTTTCTCTTCGAATTTCTCATTCTAGGTAACTACGACTAAAATATCTTGCATCTTGGAGTCTACCCATCTTTTAAATAAAAGGGATTCTTTAAAAAAGGACTCTTTTAAAGTGATTCAATGAAATTGTTCTAAAATCACTAAATTTAAAAAATTGAAACAAATTCTTTTCAATTCTCATGATCGTCTTCCTTTCTATGGCATTTCACATTGTTTACTTGCTATTCTTAAAACTCTTCTCTCCTGTTGGCTTTTTTAAAAAACTTAAGGAATAATTTACAGAAATAACATTCTCCCATTTTAAAAGCACTATTTGATGAATTTTGACAAATATATACACTTGAGTAACCACTACCCCAGTGAGGATACAGAACATTTCCACAGCCCCAACATTCCTTTCTGTTCCTTCCTGGTCAAGCTCCTCCAACATGAGATCTAATTTATATGACTGCTTTAGTTTTGTCTGTTGTAAGAATTCATATCCATGGAATTAAGCAGTGTGTGTTCATTTGTGATTGGCTATTGTCATTCAGTATGTTTTTGAGATTCACAATGATGTTTTGTAACAGTGGATTTTTTTACTGCTTGTCTCAGTCAGTATGTGTTCCTATAAAGGAATACCCAAGGCTGGATAATTTATATAGAAAAGAGGTTTATTTGGCTCATGGTTCTGGAGGCTGTACAAGAAGCATGGTGCCAGCATCTGCTTCTGGTGATGGCCTCAGGCTGGTTCTATTCATGATAGGAGGCAAAGGAGAGCCAGTGTGTGCAGAGATCATGTGGCCAGAGAGCAAGCAAGAGAGGGGAGGAGATTTCAAGCTCACTCTCTTTATTTTTTTTTATTTTTATTTTATTCCTTTGTTGTTGTTGTTGTTGAAAAAAAAAAATAGTTCCATTGGGAATTAAGAGTAGGAATTGATTCATACCCTAGAGAATGGCACCAAGCCATTCATCAGGGATCCGTAACTAAGCTCCAACTCCCTACTCCCTGCTCCCCAACCAGGCTTTACCTCCAACGCTGGGGATCAGTGGGGCATGGGGGCTCACACCTGTAATCTTAGCACTTTGGGAGGCTGAGGTGGGCTGATCATTTGTGTCTAGATGTTCAAGACCAGCCTGGGCAACATCGTGAATCCCCATCTCTACCAAAAAAACCCCACAAAAATTAGCCAGGCATGGTGGTGCATGCCTGTAGTCCCATCTACTGAGGAGGCTGAGGTGGGAGACTGGCTTGAGACCTAGAGGTGGATGTTGTGTGAGCTGAGATCGTGCCACTTCACTCTAGCCTGGGTGACAGAGTAAGACTCTGTCTCAAAAAAAAAAAAAAAAAAAAAAAAAAAAAAAAGACAAAGAAGAAAAAGAAAAAGAAAAAAAGAGATGTCCACGCCCTAATTCTTGGATCTTTTCAATATGTATATGTAACATAGCAAAAGAGACTTTGTAGATATAATGAAGATTATAGACTTTAAAATAGGTTATCCTGGATTATTGGGGTGAGCCCAATCTAATTACATGAACCCTTATAACCAGACATCTTTCTCCAAGTAAACTCAGAGAAATGTAGCAAAGAGAAAGTCGAAGTGATTGGAAGCATGAGAGGGACTTAACACACCATTGCTCTAGGAGTACACATTGGTCTCCAGCTGGTAGCCAGCAAGGAAATGGGAACTACAGTCCTAAAACTGTAAGGAACAGAATTCAGCCAACTGCCTGCATGGATTGGGAAGCTCATTTGAACAATCTCCCAATCATGCTGTACTGGTTCATGCTGTACTGGAATTTTTACCTACCGAACTGTGAGATAATAAATGGGTGTCATTTCAAGCCATTAAACGTGTGTTAGTTATGCCAGCATTAAAAAACCAATAGATTGAATGTCTAAATTTTTAAAGAAGGTTGAGATTCATTTTGGGAAGCTGTTCCTGTAGTGGCTGATCAGCTTGCTTCTTTTGAGACTTGTTTTTAAGCCTTGTGAGTGTCTACACTATCATTTTGTAATATGGATATCTTAGTCCAGTCCTGGAAGAGTGGCTTGTTGGACCGTCTTTTGTATGTCATGGGTATTTAATAAAGATTCTGCCCTCTAGTTGATTAAAACTCAAATGACTCCTGTCCCTGTGAGTTCCAGCAGGTGTTCAGTTTGTAGTTCCCCAGTAATTGTTCTTTTGGTGATAGTTATTTTTTGCCCTGCTATTTAATTTTTTTGTAAAGTCTCGCGCTATACATGCACAGCTTTGTATTCAGCCCAAGACTTGAAGAGTATTCTGAAACTCTTTCTATGTATAATTTTTCCTTTCTGTCACTTTTTATTGCAAATTCCAGCCGTCTTAGACTTCCCAAACTCAAATCTTTTCCTCCCCAGCGCAACTTTCCTTGAATTTCCTTATGTGGACCATAGTCTGAAAGTACTTCCAGGCGTAAAATCAGGGTAATCATAGGTCTCCTCTCATTTGTTTCTTTTCTATTATGGATCACATGTTTGTACTGTCTGTGTTTCAGTGTCCTAGAATTCATATTTTCTGGATGTTGGTTGTCTGCCGCCAAGTGAGATGTGCCTTTCACCTTCCACCGCGATTATGAGGCCTCCCTAGCCACGTGGAACTGTAAGTCCATTAGACCTCTTTCTTTTGTAAATTGCCCAGTCTCGGGTGTGTCTTCTTTATCAGTAGAGAACAGATTAATACATATTCCTAACTAAGCCTAAAGTCAAAGTAATGTCTGTTTTAGGCCAAGAACTAATTACAAAACTAGTCATTGTATATCACTTTATAACACATTTTTGTACACTTCACTGAGTTACTAAATTAGAAAGAATTGTAGTTAGTTAAAGGTAAAATCCTTGACTATTTGAAGACCTAGGCTTTGAACTTGTATAGCATGTGACTGTACTGAATACTGTAGGCAATTATAAGGCAATGGTAAGTATTTGTGTATGTAGACATACTACAGATATAGTAAAAATACTGTATAAAAGAAAAACATGGTACATCAGGCACTTATTATGAATGGATCCTACAGGAGTAAAAGTTGCTCTTAGTGGGTCAGTGAGTAAGTGTGACTGAATGTGAAGGCCTAGGACATTACTAAAAATCACTGTAGACTTTATAAATACTGTACATGCGTACTACACTGTTTATTTTATAAATTTTTCTTTCATCAATACTTACTATACATTTTTTACTGAATACACTTTACTTTTTAAAATATTTTGACTATTTTATAATAACAGCTATATTAGTCTGTTTTCACACTACTCTAAAGAACTACCTGCGACTGGATAATTAAAGAAGAAAAGAGGTTTAATTGACTCACAGTTCCACAGGCTGCACAGGAAGCATGGATAGGATAGGAGGCCTTAGGAAACTTACAACCATGGTGGAAAGCAAAGGGGAGGAAAACGCGTCTTACCATGGTGGAGAAGGGGAGAGAGACAGAGCAAAGGAGGAAGTGCCACACACTTTCAAACAACCAGATCTTAAAACTCACTCACTGTAATGAGAACAGCAAGGGAAAAGTCTACCCTCATGATTCAATCACTTCCCACCAGACCCCTCCCCGACATGTGAAGATGACAATTCAAGATGAAATTTGTGTGGGGACGCAGAGCCAAACCATATCATTCTACCCTGGCCCCTCCCAAATCTCATCTCCTTTTCACATCTAAAATCACAACCATGCCTTCCCAACAGTCCCCCAAAGTCTTAACTCATTCCAGCATTAATTCAAAAGCCCAAGTCCAAAGTTTCATCTGAGACAAGTCCCTTGTGCCTTTGAGCCTGTAAAATCAAAAGCAAGTT